CCGCCGCCGCCACGGCCCGCGCCGGTCGCCGCCGCCAAGGGGCGAAGGCGGAGCGGCGCATCCCGCTTCGGAACCATCCTCAAGGTCCGCGTGCGCTCCAAGGGGTCATGCTTTCGGCCTCGAGAGCTGTGAAGAGGAGCACCGTCCTCACGCGCCCGGCTGTGCGAACAGGCCAAGTTCGAGTTCGAGCTCGTCTGCGCGAGCCGCAGGACGTCGTGCCGGCTGCGCGCGCCCTCCGCGCAGGAGCTCGCCGTGTGGGTGACGACCATCTCGGCGGCGTGGTGTGATGTGCTGCAACGCGAGGCGAACGCGAGCGGCGACTTTGCGGCGGGCGAGGTCCTCTCGTCTGCGCAGGCGGGCGGCGACGAGATGTTTCTCCAAGGTCGCGACGTCCTCTCGTGACGAGCGCGCGGTTTCCGGTCCATTTTTTTTTCACAGGGCCTCGGCAAATTTTCACGGCCTGTGTCGCGCGCCGCGCCCCGCGGCGGTGAGGTAATCAATGGCCAGCGAGTCGTGTCCTCGGCTGACAAAGGAGGAGCGCTACGCGAGCCAGCTCCGCATGATCCATCCGAGGGAAGGTGGCGTCCGCAAGGCCATCGGTGCCGTGCTCTGCGGGCTCGGCGCATACAGCGTCTCTCGCGGGCTGGGGCCGCTGTCGGATCTCACCATCGCCGCCGGGGTCATGCTCTACAACATGGGCCGCAGCAGCCAATGAGGCTGCATCGTCAGCCTGCGCTGGAACCCCGACGGCAAGGGCAACCGTGCCGTCCCGCCGCATCTGCAGGCGTTCGCTCACGCCAAGAGGCGCGAGTACTTCTGGAACTGTGCCACCTCTGCGGCAGCCGGCCTCGTCGTCGGTCGCCTGCTTGCGGCCGCCACCGGAGATGCCGCCGCACTAACGTCTCGTGCCGTGGTACAAACGGCAGTATTTCTGGCGTCGATGACATTGCTGCTGGGCGTGGCGCTATCCTCGCTCTTCTGAGGCGTAGACCGGGCCCCTCCTTCTTCGCCCTCCATGACGGGCCACGGAGAGAGCTCGCGGGCCGCTGGCCGCGTGTTCCGTGCCGCCCAGAGCCATGGGCGATACGTCCGCTGCACGCTGTGCACGCGTGGCGAGGGTCAGGAGAGCGCGCAACCGCAAGTCGACCGTGTGTGGAGTGAATAAATAAAAGCGGACACCTCTACTAGGAGTTGGGTAAACGTGTGTGGAGTGTGCCAGATTGTTTTGTCCATTTTCCAACCGAGTGGAGTTTACATCGGGGCACAGAAAGTATACGCTCGACCGACCTCAGTCTTTACACTTTAGGCCTTGCCCGAGACCCGCTCAGAAAAACATTCGAACAAAGAAGAGGCGACGGGAGGAACCGGCAGAGGATGCAGTGACGTGACACACACACACACACACACACACACACACACACACACACACACACACACACACACACACACACACACACACACACACACACACACACACACACACACACACACACACACACACACACACACACACACACACACACACACACACAGCACACACACCGCTCACCCACGCGCACCGGGGGCCTTGCACTTTAAATGCCGTGGGGCTCCTGTCGTTAGACGTGGAGACGCGAGGGTTGCCCCCCCTTGCCCCACCACCTCGTGTGTGTGGAGAAGTTTACCTTACCTTACCTTACCTAGACCCGCTCCCTCGTGCCTCGACCTTGTCCAACAGCTCGGCAGCGACACGCGGCGGAGACGAGCATAGTGCCGCGAGCCTGTCGATGGCTGCCCGCAGCTCGGCCGGGGTCGAGAGGGCGGCTCCTCCCTCGTCCCCCGTGGTCGGCTCGCCGACGCTGTGGAGCTCGAAGCGCCTCGCGGGCCTACGGTCAGGTCAGGTACACTTCTCCACACACACGAGGTGGTGGGGCAAGGGCCAAGCCAGTCACTCGCGACTCCACGTCTAAACGACCCCACGGCATTCAAGGTGCAAAGCCCAGTGCACGTGGGAGGGCGGGCCTGCCTGCGCGACGCACACAGGCTGAGCAAGCCGGAGCCAAACGAGCCACAGAGGAGGAGGAGGACGGCAAGTGTCGCCGGGTCGACGCGCGAGAGGGGTGGCCGTGGCGGCGGAGGCGGGAGCGGCGGCGGCGGTGGCGGCGGCGAAGCTGGCGGCGGAGGAGACGGCAGAGGCAGTGGCGGCCGTGAAGAGTGCACAGCACGTGTCGGCGGGGGGGGCGCCCGGGCGCGAGGGCAACGCGGCGCACCGTCGCAGCGGCCGCACTCCGT